AGTCCAATAGAGTGATTACAAGTAACATTTTATTGATGGCTTCCACAGAGTAAATAGATCATATGAATTGTAATGATTCAATTCAATTCAAATTGTCGCACTTTTTTGAGTAATTAGGTGTAGGCCCATCAGTGGATTAGACACTGTGGGGTATTCAAATAATGCACACAGACAAATGTCCTGGAGGATCTCACAGGCATGACATAGAGACAGGTTAATGAATGATATCTCTGATATAGACAATGAGCTTCAATATGAGCACTAAGTAACATGAAGCAGGTGTCATGGAAGATCAGAAGAGGGAGAGGTTAGTTCTAACCAAGGGAGCAAGAAAGGTTTCTTAGGGGAAGTGAGATTTGGGCCAGAAATAAATAAAAGTGTACAAATCCTTTATTGGTTATAGGTAACTAAATTTATTTATTTATTTTATTATTATTTTTAAATATATTTTATTGATTTTGTACAGAGAGGAAGGAAGAGAGATAGAGAGCTAGAAACATTGATGAGAGAGAGTCATCGATCAGCTGCCTCTTGCACACCCCCTATTGGGGGTATGCCCGCAACCAAGGTACATGCCCTTGACCGGAATCGAACCCGGGTCCCTTCAGTCCCCAAGCCGACGCTCTATCCATTGAGCCAAACCGGTTTCGGCATATAGGTAACTAAATTTAAACTTGAGGAACTAAAAAGGCATTTTATCAACTTCTGTAGTAAGGATGTCTTGCTTTAGATGAGGTTGATCCAGGAACTGAAATGAGGTTGTCAGGCTTAGCTTCCTTCTCTTTGTTGTTTTTGTCTCATCTTTGTGTCTCATGCACAAAGATGACTGCTGAAGACAGAAACTTATATACGTGCTGCTTACAAGCCAAGCCTTTCTATTCCCCAGTGACCATGTTTAAAAAAAGTGAGAAGTCTCATTAGCTCTGAACCTGCCCATTCTCGGTGGTCAGCTATGTCACATGTCCATCCCTGTAGCGAGTGGGATAGGGGGAAGGGCATCATGACTGACAGTTCCACCTGATCAGATAAAGGTGCTGGGGCTTTCCCAAAAAATGCAACCGATAGGGCAGAGACATGTGCAAAACACTATCATTATCATATTCCATTTCAGATGGGTAGAATATGGTAAAAGTAATATGAGGGCAAAGCATTTGTGAGGAAAGGGAAGAGTTTGGCTAGGATGTAAACAGAGGTAAGTACAAGGAATGTTTTCGAAAACAGGAGTGTACAGTGCTTATCATGTGCAAAGTAACTCTATGCCAATGATTACAGTCTCTGAATTGACAAAATTTTATAGATGTTTTTCTTTACTTACTCATTTTATCTGAGTGGTGTTGGATACATGCAACTGTATGTTCAGCAAAAATTATTTAAATGTAATGGGAACTTGCTATTTGAAATAGATTCTGTGATGAATATTTGTGTAAATCAAAGAATTATCACCAAACACACTGACCTTTAATTTTCTGTTTTGTACATTTAAATTATTACATATAGAATAATGTATGCCAGAATTAAATCTTTTTTAAAATAATGAATTTTTAATCCATTTAAAATATAGCTCAACTTAAGCTCTTAGAGCATTTCCTCTTCCTAGTAAATGTTTAGTAAGTGTACATAAATGATTCCTTGAATTTATATCAGTAATTGTAAAATCATCTACCAGTTTTAAAAGCTTATTTGGACCAGACCTTTGTTTGTCCCTTGGCATAGCAGTGACTGACTGTGAATTCATTTTATGATTCACAGAATCCCCATGGGCCTGTGGTGATACTAGTAATTGAAACTGGGCCAATTGATGTTTTCATTCTTTCTATCTTTAAGATAAAATTGAAATAAAAACCTGTTTTGTTATTTCATATTTGTTGCATTGGGCTAAAATTAGAGATGGAGATAGAATTAGATCCTTGCTAACTGAATTTAAAATCTAAATAAGATATACAAGATTCTGACCTTGGGAAATAAATTATAAAAGTGACAACTTAGTGAAAAACTCAGAAACAAAGGAACAAAATCCAAGCAGAGATGGCAAAGTATTCTATTCATAATATTTGCCGGTAATTGACAAAGGTATAGCACTAAAAGGTCAATTTCCAGTTCTAGCTCTTTCCTGAACTTCATCTTTTTAAGCATGACACCTTTCTTTATTATGCATGAGTTTCTCTGCATTCAAACTGTATATATTTTTCAGAGAATTTGGCAAGATATATGAAATAATAAATATGGAATACTTTAAGTTTCTCAGAATGAAATTTCCACAACAAAATGAAATAATAATAGGATACACTGTATGAATTACATCTAATCTTACAAAGCAAGTAAATTAGGGATAAAATTTTACGTAGTAGAAGGATTCATTTCAAACATGATTTTAAGAATATTTTATTAGAACATCTAAAATAACTCAACTTACAAAAATTTGATACAGACACAACTTTTGAGAAACATTTTGCACTAGTCAAAGGTACGCCTTTGTGATTCAATTAATTACCAAAGCATAAAATAACTCAGAATAAATAATTCATTCAATTTATGGTACTCAGAGTTATGTGACATTTTAGCCATTTAAAAGTATTAGCTGTAGCAAATGGTCGACAAATCTGACAACTTGAGCTTGCTATAGCAACAAATTCTAACCTATTCCAATGTTCTCCTCTATGAGACAAGCCATTATATAGATTTAGACAGTGAAAAAAAAAGTATTAACAAAAAGCCACAGAACCATCATCTGCTTTTAGATAGTTTATATAATAATATCATAAATTTTAAGCAGAAGAGCCACATATGTCCTATCCTGTTAAAGTGAGTGCTTAATGAAGGAACATTTTGTCAGATACTGAGTTAAAGACCCTATGAGCTAATAATGATTGTAATGTAATAATGTACTATAGAGATAAAGATAATTTGAGAATACATAAAAATAGAAAAAAGTTGTATAGCACTATATTGAAATAAATTCATTACATACAATCACATAGAACTTGATTACAAATGAGACTGGAAGTTTTATTAAGGTCAAGATTGATGATAGAAAAGTGTGGAATTTCCCAAGGTGGTTGAAAAAAACATGTACAGTCAGACCATAATGCATAAGAAATAACTGACATAGTCACCAAATTTTAAACAAGGCTTACTGTGAAGTGGTGCTTCTATGCTCAATAACAGAATATCCTTATCAATATTATCCATGTCCAGTATGAGGAACAATAGATGGGTCAATGTCAAAAAGGACAAGAGAAGATGGCTGCCTGCCTCCTCTCTCCCCACTAAATGGATCTAGCACACCCAATGAAACTGATGCTGAGAGCAGGAGAAAGAAGCTGCAGTTGTTGGACCTCATCTTCAGATATTCCTCCAAGTCTGTCTCTTATTCTATACTAGAGCCCTGGTTCATGAAATTCGTGCATGGGGGGAGGGTCCCCTCAGCCCAGCCTGCACCTTCTCCAATCCAGGACCCATCGAGAATGTCTGACTGCACATATAAGAGGCAGTCAGATATCCCTCTTACAACCCTGGACTGTTGGCTCCTAACTCACTTGCCTACCTGCCTGGTCTCCCCTAACTGTCCCACCCCTGGTCACCCATTACTGCCCCCCAACCCCTACTGGTCTGGTCACTCCAAACTACCCCCCTCTGCTGGCCTGGTTGCCCCTCACAGCCTCCACCTCCCCTCCCCCCCCCCCCCTAGCCTGTTCATCCCATGCAGCCTGCTGTTCAGTCATTTGGTTGTCCCTCACTAACCCCCTGCTGGCATGGTCACCCCACCCAGTCTGCTTTTTCAGTAGGTTGGTTGTCCCTCACTAACCCCCCTGCCAACCTGTTCATAGTCAGCCATCTTGTGAGGGTTTGATGATCAATTTGCATGTTACCTCTTTATTATATAGGATTCAGTGTTGCCAATTTCCCTAACTTTCTCAGCTTCTTTCTTTCTGATCCTTAGCTCAACTTTCTATCACTCTCTAACATCAAATTTTGCTGACCTGGGTTTTTGACTAGCAGCTTTATTTTTCACCTTTGAAGTACCTTCATGACCTGATTATTGATGGTTTGGTTTTTCACCTACAACCTCATGCACAATAAACCAGGGATAGAAGACACCTACTCCTGTTCCCTGTGGTTGCCCAGTGGAGCCTGTACTGATCTGTTCCTGACCCAAGTAGATACTGTTTGATTATGCAAGGTCTAACTTAAACTCAAGAGAAAGATTTTGAGCAAACTTTAGCAAACTCAAGATACACTCCATTTTAGATTGATTAGGATAGCTGTCCATCCTCCCACTAATCATCTAATGCCTCTGACAGAGTTTGGTTTCTGTTACTATTCTTGGTACATACAATGTCCTCAGGAAATATTTAATAAAAGGGTGGATGAAAGAATAGGAAAATTATTATAAACACCAGCCATAAGACCTGGAAATGATAACACTAGTTTTTGAGGGTGTGCATGAAGAAATTATATGATGAATCTTTAATTAGCAGAACATGTTTGTTAAAGACTTCTACTCGCATTTCTTTAAAAAACAAAACCAGGATAGCTCAGCGCAACTACTTGTTTTCAGTTTGAAAACATGCATGTTTTAAAGCAGCTTTGAAAATAATTTCTTGCCTAGAGGAAGGCATGACTTCTGCTGTGTGAGCAGTGCAGTGTTCGAAATTTATATGCCTAGGCATACACCCTCCTGGAGGGCAGTTCATAAAAATGCCAACTAGCTGGCCCACGTCTTCTTCACACTCTGGTTCTTATAAGCATATGAAGATGTACACTCTACTCACAAAAATTTTAGTTAAAATAAAGAAAAAGACAGAGGTAACAAGAGCACTATCCCAAATTCTTGCATGAAAAACTACACATTTCCTCTAGAAATCCTAAAGAAGGTGTTTACAGAAATGGTTGATGAAAGTGGCCTGGGCTGGCATATAAAAGCTTACTGTGAGAGAGAACACCCTGAATACAGTGCGTCTCTTTCTATCAGCTGCTACTCAGTGTTTGTTTTTCTTCAGATTGATCGGCTGGACGTGGATAGCTTGTTTAGCAATATTGAGTCCGTGCATCAGATATCAGCCAAGCTGCTGTCATTGTTGGAAGAGGCCACAGCAGACGTGGAACCGGCCATGCAAGTAATCGGTATGTTTATTCTCTTCTCTGTTGTACAATGCAGCAGGAAATAATCTTTCAATACCCTTCCTTTGCTTTGGTTTTATGTTTCTGACTCATCCGACTTCCCAGGAGGCATATAAATGCTAAACCCCTCTTTAGGCTCATGGTAATTACACAAACTCTGTATTTATTTTGAAATGGGTTGATATCCATTTGCTGAAGTCTCTCAGCAACACTAAACACGCCATTTGCTTTTTTATTTTCAATCTTGCAACCTCTTTGCCTTCCAGATGTTCTCATTTTGTTTTATGGTTAACACATACTTGATCCTTAAAAGAATTAAATATTTAAATACTTTAATAGCTTTACTGATTTTAGTCACAATGTTTTCCAGATTTATGCCTATGAATCCATTGATTTGGGGATTGTAAATTTTTTTTGTGTGAAGGGTTTATATGATTTGTGAGACACACAAGTTCAACTTTTTCCATGCCTCCCCACCCCCCCCTTTTTTTTCCTTCTATATATTTGCTTTCCAGATATGTTTTTACTTTCACAGTAAATTTAGTCTCTGGTAAGATTTTTAAAAAAATATATTTTATTGATTTCTTACAGAGAGGAAGGGAGAGAGATAGAGAGCTAAAAACATCAATGAGAGAGAAACATCGACCAGCTGCCTCTTGCACACCCCCTACCGGGGATGTGCCCGCAACTGATGTACATGCCCTTGACCGGAATCGAACCTGGGACCTTTCAGGCCGCAGACCGGCGCTCTACCACTGAGCCAAACCGGTTTTGGCTCTGGTAAGATTTTTTAAAACAATATAGCAGTAGTAGGCAAACTGTGGCTTGCAAGCCACATGCAGCTCTTGAGCTGTGGTTTGACTCTCTGTTGACTAATGAGTTTGCCGACCAATGGGATAGGGGCTTAATCACAAGAAATAACAACAGCTTGTAATTATTGGAATTGAGAGTCTAGGTCAGTGGGAATATATTGAGTTATTTTCTGCAGTTCTTGGGGCTTCCAAAGGAATACTTTGTATGAATTCATTGAAGGCAGTTGCCACATTAGGATCTCATATACATAATTCCATGTAGACTAAGAATTCTTAAAAGATTTTAAAATCATTTTTCTGTTTCAACATAATATGTAAAATATGCTTATTATAAAAATATCAAAACAGTACAGGAGCACATGGGGTGATATGCCTCTGCAATGCCACTGTTTTCCCCATAAGAAGCCATTATTATACGTTTGATGTGAATCCTTTTGTTTGAGACAGACATGGAGACCCAAATACACACCTTATGTCTTTATCTATTGTGTCTTTATTTGTTAGTGGACATCAGAGTTATAAAAATGACATGATACTGATCTTGTTTAGCATTTATGGATGACCCAAAGATTAATAAATAAGGCTGATCTTATTGAAGGGTGAATCAACCTGGCTATTTGTAGGACTTTACAGATCACAATGCCCATTCACTCAAACAGATTCTCTCACAGACAGGCTTAAATGAAATCATTTCTTGTGATTAAATGTCTTCGTTGTGTACTGAACATTTGTGTTTCCCCAAAATTAATTTATTGAAGCTCTAATCCCAATGAGGTAATTTAGGTTCAGATGAATTTCAAAGGGGCTCCCCCTCATGTTGGGATTAGTGTTCTTATAATGAGAGGAAGAAAGACCAGAGTTCCCTCCTTCTGTCCCTCTATCATATGAGGACTTCCTAAGGTCCTTACCAGAAATTGAATCTGCTGGCACCTTGATTTTGGACTCTACAGCCTCCATAACCATGGGAAATAAACGTCGGCTGTGTAGGTAATCCAGTCTTTGTTATTTTGCTGTGGCAGCCTGGGTTAATTAATGTATTTTTCAATACATTGTAAAAATATTTTCTAGAGTGAAGGCTTCATTCATTATCTCTTTAGTTTATTAATTTATTAATTCACTCCATGAAAAGTTATTAAGCAACAGTATGCTCACAGACTTATGCTGCATGACATTCTCAATATCAAAAGATGAAAGAGTTCATTTCCATCCTGCAAAAGTTTGCAATCAAGCAGCTCCTTGAATTAAAGGTAATAGTATAATGTACCACCAGAGAAGTTTCTATACAACTGCAGACCTTCAGAGGATAAAGAGAATATTCCTGGATAGGAAATCAGAGTAGGACTCTTGAAGATATTACTTGGGCTTAAAATATAGGTCATATTTCAACAAACGAGATATAGGTTGGGAAGACTGAATGGAAGCATGAACAAAAGTATGGATAGGAAATGCCAAATGCCAAGTGTTTTTAGGACTTATGGAGTGATCAATTCAAGCTGGAGTGAGGAATTCATGCAAAGGAGGATTGACAAATGGATCTGTAAGTATGGAATAGGAACAGACCATACTCAGAATCAAAGTTTGGAATTTTCTCTGCAGGCAATAAGAAGCCATTAAAAGTTTTTTCAGCAAGGGTGTGATGAGACACAAAGTTTCTGGATAAATAAAACTATGGTAGCTGTGAAGAGAATGGATAGAATGAGGAAATGATTTCTAGACCAATGGATAGGTAATTATACGGAATATAGGCATGGGAAAACAGCATCTAGGCTAAGGAGAACACAGTAAGAATAAAGAAAGCATAAAGAAGATTCAATGGTTGACTGTACATGCCAGAGTCAAAGACAATTCAAGGTTTAAGGAGCCTGTCCATGGTGGCCTAGTGGTTGAGCATTGACCTGTGAACCAGGAGGTGAGGATTCAATTCCCAGAAGGAGACATGTAGCCTAATTTGCCTAAAACAGTGGTCAGCAAACTCATTAGTCAACAAAGTCAAATATAAACAGTACAATGATTGAAATTTCTTTTGAGAGCAACATTTTTTAAACTGAAACTTCTTCTAATGCCACTTCTTCAAAATAAACTTGCCCAGGCCATGGTATTTTGTGGAAGAGCCACACTCAAAGGGCCAGAGAGCCGCACGTGGCTCACAAGCCGCAGTTTGCCGACCAAGGGCCTAGAACATCCTGGTTTCAAGCTATTGTTCAAGCATTCAGTCCAGTTTAGCATTTGCCTTGGATTTCCTCCTTTTTAAAGGAGGATCATTATTAATAGTTGCATTTCAAGAGATTTGGAAAGACCTCTACATTGTACTTCAATTTCTGACACAGTGTTTCCTAGTAGTAGAGGGTAAGAGACAGGTACATTTGACAGAGTTCTCGCTGCAACACATGGTAAACATTGAAAGACAGCCCATCTCTCCTTTCCCCACCTTTTCTAGTCTCAAAGAAGCTTACATCTTCCTTTGAAATGTAGCATGCAGGGCATTGGCTGATAGAACAGCATTTGAACATGAGTAGCTAGCAACAGCTAACTGTAACCTGTTCTGCTGGGGATGAGAGAGAGATTTGATGCTGCAGATCCTGCTCTCCGCTGATAGAGAAGCCAGTTGTGTCATAGCCTATGCTAGGTGTCCCATGCCATGGCCTATGAGAGGCATGAAGCCACCAGGATAACCATCAATGGGTTGAGTGGAACATGTATGGAACTAAAGATTGGGTGTAAGTGCAATATGTGTGGGAGGCAGGGGCTGAGCTGTCCTGCCACAGAGCATCTGGATGCTGCTACTACAGTAGGTTAGTCATTTATCTTATGCTCTAAATCTGTAACTTTTTATTGTCTATAAAATCTATAACTATTTTACTTGACAATAAACCAATTCAGAAACAAGGGTTAGTGTACACATGTTTAAAAAAATTAAGTATTGACTTTTCTGTTTCTCAAGAACGTTGATGATAAACAAAGAACACACAAAATACTCACCATCCATCATGGGGTCAATAAGACAATCAAAATACAGAAATCTGCCAAGGAAGTACCAACATCAAAAGACAGTCATTACATTAAAGACAGTGCCCATTAGTTTAAAACGTTTGGCATTTGCTGTCCATGCTTTTTGTTCATGTTGCTACTTCTACCTTAAATCTTCTTCTCAACCTGGACCCCACTTGTTGAAATCTAACCTGTGTCTTTAAGCCCAAGTACACATGATGTTTGAGTGCAGCTGCAGAAGGTGTATTTACAAGTCATCCCATGCAGCTTGACTTCATTTAGGTCAAGTGACAGTTAACTTACATTAACAGATGTGATACACCATACAAACAAACTAAGAGATAAAAACCATATAATCATATCCATTGACGCAGAAAAAGCATTTGACAAAATCCAACACCCTTTCTTGATAAAAACTCTCAGCACAGTGGGAATAGAAAGTTCATACCTCAATATAATAAAAGCCATATATGACAAACCCACAGCCAACATCATACGCAATGGGCAAAACCTAAAACCATTTCTCCTATGAATAGTAGCAAGACAGGGATGCCCACTCTCACCACTCCTGTTTGACATAGTACTGGAAGTACTAGCCATTGTGATCAGATAAGAAGAAGAAATAAAAGGCATCCAAATTGGAAAAGAAGTAAAACTCTCCTTAGTCACAGATGACATAATATTGTATATAGAAAACCCCAAAGACTCCATCAAAAAACTACTAGACTTAATAAATGAATTCGGCAATGTAGCTGGATACAAAATTAAAACCAAGAAATCTATGGCTTTTCTATACATCAATAATGAACTCACAGAAAGAGAAATTTTAAAAAAAGCAATCCCATTTACCATTGCAACAAAAAATTAAGATACCTAGGAATGAACTTACCCAAGGAGACAACAGACATATACTTAGATAATTTCTCTCATTTTTTTATTCCAAGTTACTTGGGTGGGCCTGTGAGCAATATAAAACAGTGCCTTTTCATAAGTTGACATCATAATCAGAACTTTGTAGACAATCCAATTATGACAGTTAAAAAATATATAAAATCAATTAATTCTAATAGTAACTTAAAAAGTGTTTAATTCAATTCACAGAATCAAAGAAAAGCTTTTGGGAGTTGATTATGTCAAAGTTGAATTTTCTGACCTTATTGTAAAGACTACTGTAACTTTAAAAATTAAACTTGTGAATACAAA